GTCAAGGGTTTTAAGTGGTTCAAAGGGCTCACAAGTACTATCTTTCATCATGGAAATCTCCCCCTGAAGAGAGGACTTGGAAAAAAAGGATTTATTTTCTGTGAAATTGACATCTGCAGAGATGTAAAATTTTCTGGTAGAGGGATTGTAACACTTATATCCCTTTTGAGTGGAGGAGTAACCTAGGAAAACACATTTAATGGCTCTGGGATTTAGCTTCCCTCTATATTGTTTGTGGACATGAACAAAGGCAGTACACCCAAATACCCTGGGAGTGAGGCCATTTGAGGTTTTGAAGTGAGGGTATAAGCTATTTAGGACCTCTATGGGGATATTGTTTTCTAACACACGGGAGGGAAGTCTATTGATCATGTGTGTGGCAGTAAGAACGACTTCTCCCCAATAGGACTTAGGAACATTCCCTTGAAACAGTAAGGCTCGGGTGGTGTTGAGTAAATGCTCATTCTTTCTTTCAGCTACCCCATTTTGTTGAAGTGTGTCCACACATGATGAGTCATGGATAATCCCTTGTGATTGAAAATAAGGTGAAAGAATTTGATTAAAGTAATCTCTAGCATTGTCTGTCCTAAAGCCTTTTATTTTGACCCCAAATTGATTTTGAACCATTGAATGGAAGTTAGGTATAACTGAGCTAACATCAGATTTCTGTTTAAGAAGAAAGATCTATGTAATCCGGGTGCAATCATCAATTAAGGATATAAACCAACGAGCCCCAGAAACATTAGGTATAGTGGAAGGACCCCATATGTCACTATGAATTAGATGAAATGGATGAGAACTTCTTTTATTCCTAATGGGAAAAGATACACGGTTATGTTTTGCCAATTCAAAAATGTCACAATGAAACTCATAAATATTTAATCCTTGGAATAAATGAGGAAACATTATATTTAGAACCCTAAAAGATGGATGACCAAGGTGTGAGTGATACAGCCAAATGACATCTTTGTTTTAGGAACTAAGAAAAGATGAGGACAAATTCCTCCTGATTTTCTTGGATGGTTCAAGGTGGTAAAGACTGCTCATTTCCTTAGCAAGTCCAATCCTCCTCCCCGAGTCCTGTTCCTGAAAAACACAATAAGAAAGAAAAAACAAC